CTTTTCCTCTGTGCTCCGAAACATGCTGTGTGTTTTATTGTTACTTTTTCCAGGAAGAGTGACTTAGAATTTTTGTTAGTGTCCATAAATCTCTGCCATTTTTTGTACATCCTTTGTTGGTATTTTTGTCCTGGCGTTTAATATCAGAACACAAAAACAAGAAGAACGCTCGGCTTACATCAGTGCTGTCCTGACCTACCGAGCAGTAACAAAAAGTATGATTCATACGCACTATTATTAAGCAGTGTCCCTGTGTTCAAGGAGAGAACCCCTTTTTTACCCATATAAAGTAAATTCAAAGCAGAAGAGAGCAGTTCGGTGAGGACATGGGAGTTTTAATGTGTTTATTTTCCTATGTTATTGTTCATCGCAATTAAGTCCAACAAAAGGAACAGCACTGTAAATTATGCCTTTGATACTATTCCTCTTTTGAGATTGGGTTGGTGTAATGACAGATAGCATGTGGTTGGGCTCTTTGCTTTGTTTTATTTTTTAATAGAAGTGCAGATAAACAAGCTTTATAAGGAAGACAGTCTTTTCCTACATGGAACAAATAAATGATTTTTTGAATTATTAAAAGAAAATAATAACATTGATAAAAGAGAAAAAAATCATTTCATGTGAAAAGAAATGAAATGACTGCTGATAGGATCCATTTCCGTGATGACATATCTGTCTGGAAGAAGGCAACGTCTGAAGCTTCACGAGTTCGTTCCGTGAGACAGGAATTTACAGGAATTACAAAAATGTGGCATAACTATACTGAGGTTTTCTTCGCTGGCGCACTCCAGAGCATTCTAGGGGAGTCAGACGCTTGGTCTGCGGGTTTCTCCCATTGGGGAAGGATCTTTTCCTTGGCTACAGGAGCAGTTCTGGCACCTGATGTGTTTGTATCTGCCTGGATTAGCCTTCTCCACAGCTTTTTCTCTAGAGCACAGCAAGGTGTTCTCTTTCTTTTTGCTCCACCCAGCACGATGTGATGCCTTTTCAGCACTTACAACACAAAGGAATGGTTATGACTCATGGGTTTGTTTTCTCCATGTGAAAGTAGTTTTGCAGTTCTTAAAATTATAAATCAAGTATAAACTTGGTTATACTTTACTGTTTTATTATTTAGTTTATTTTTGTTTTACCCTTTAATTTACTTATTACTTAAGGGTTTTAACTTAACATTTGTAATATCAGTGCTGAAAGTTCCTGTTCTCTAGTATTTTTGAAGGCGTTGTGTAGCTAATATCGCATAAAACACCCTTAAGTCTTTGTAAAATTATTTTTTCAGTATTTACTACATTGTGAGGCTGAAAAATTGGGTCAGACTCTTAAGACAGATCAATGGATTTCAACATAAAAAACCATTCCTGTCCTCCTTGTTGGGTGTTGCATATTCTCTGACCAGGAATAGATTATGTGATAAGGTTTGCCATAAAATGCAAGGAAAAAAATGTATACGTGTGAGTATATGTTTCACAGTGCAGTACGTAGTATTACGTGGAGGAACAAGATAAATTGATCCAGGCAGATGCTGTATTCATAGAGCAAAAATACTTCTGCTGTCCAGCTCCTCTTCAGCATCTCTACAGAGTACTGCACTGTGCTGTGATCGGCTTATTTAACCTTGAAAAATGAAGTCTGAGGGAGAATACTGCTGCTTTCCGTGAATTCATGATAGTGCAAACCCAAAGGAGGAGGAAATCCTGTTTAACCTGAGAGACTTCCAACAGAAGAACAAATAGATATAAATTGACCATGAATAAGTGCAGGCTGGAAACCAGGAGACGGCTCTTAACTAGCAGAGCAGGGATGTTCTGAGACAGCCTACTGCTTGGAAACAGCAGTTCAAAAGCACTCTTCCTCATATAGGAACACACAGTTTTGTAAATCATCTGGTTTTATTCATTTATAGTTTGGTGTTGATGACGTAGGTTGAATACCCAGGTGCTAATTTCCTTCAAGTGATGGCTAGGTAATTGTCTTAGAGTTACAAAGGAATGGCAGTATCCTTTGATTAATTAACTGAGTAAATGACTGTCACATGGAAACCCTGTCAAAGATATTTTGGTCTTTAATAAAAGGGCATTGATTTATCATCTTTTATTTTTAAACTTTTATGTTTTCATTTTGTCAAGAGGGACTTTGTGAACGATACACTACCACTGTAAGTGTTAATGTGGCACAGAACTATCACGCACAAATTAACAAAACTAGCAGTCTGCTCCTTGAGTGACATAAGTCACTTGTTATCCTTTAGTTAAATCATTTTGGGTCAAGACTGACCACCTTCACTGGTTTCAGGAAGAAGCACTATGTTATAATCTCTGTATAGAACCAAGTTGTGGGTTACAAAGATAGCTTGAAAAGGTGTATTTAAAATCGTATGATCTCTGTTAAAAGAATTCCGAACAATTAGTATCAAAAGGAACTCATCCTATATATCTATATCTATATCTATATCTATATCTATATCTATATCTATATCTGTGTCTATATCTATATCTATATTTAATGTTCCAAGGGGGAACAATTTATTCCAATATATGGTACCTATTTTGCTTATTAAAGTAATAGGTTCATTATTACAAAAGATTGCCCAGTACAGTCAAAACCTAAGCAAAGCACAGAAGACTTGAGTCAGTTACGTCTAAAAAAGAATTTATTTGGAAGGTGCTTTTTTTATGTTTCCCTAATAACCTCAGATATTATGGGGGAAAGGTCTGTTCAGTGGCCGGCCCTCCCTGTGTTTCTACTGAATTTCAGTGCATTGCATTTTAGGCTGTAAGTGCCAAGGTAGCCAGTGTTTGTCAGAACAGCATAGATAAGCTACAGTCTTTTCTCCCAACATTTCAAAAAATGGTCTACCATTTGACATTTATGTTATAGCCCAATTCTCATTTGTATCTTCTGTCCAAGATGCAAGATAGCAGTTATATGAAAATAATGTGTAAATGTTTCTTTGCCTCTTACCTTTTTAGCTTTTTTTTTTTTTCACCTAAACCACTGCAATGCCATTAATTACAATGAATTCTTAGCTGAGTAATTGCTTTGGCCATATTGCTGTTTTACTTCTTCAACAAGAGTCAGTATGCATGAAGGTAAGCATTTTTAGCAAAAATCTGGACTCTTTGCATTGTATTGGTTGGAAAACTGTTGACATAGCAGTATATTTCTCTTTTTTAATAATAAAAAAAAAACATTAAAAAAAAAATTCTTGAAATGCAGGAAAAGGCTAGAAATGATAGTTTGATTACAGAGGCAAAATACTTTCAAGTCAACATTTGGTCCAGAAGGTGCTAAAAAGGTGTGCCCAGGACTCCATCAGTCTGCTTTTGTGTTCTCACCCCTTCTTTGTCTCTATCTCTAGCCTAACAGTCTGTCCTTGATATATACACAAGCCTCCAAAGAACAAAAGGTGGTAAAGCCTCTCCACCCTATGTGTATTGTATTTTGCATGTTGTAAGCAGAAGCCTTTGCTCAAGTCTCAGGAAAAGTACTACTGGTACTGTTTGAGCTCTGCTGGTGCTATGGAGTTGTTTACGCAAACATTTCTTGTGGTTAGCCCCGATGGAAGGTGGCTATTGCACACATATTTCCATTGTGTTTAACCCACTCCAGACAATGGCATTTGTTTTAGCAGCATCAGCATTTGGCAAATAGCAGTCTGTATTAAGCTGTGTGTTAACCTCTTAATAACTGAATGATTACGTGGCCATGGTTAGACTACAGCTCCCGGCAGAAGACAGATGAACCACACATAAAATACTAAAAGTGCATTTTTTACTTTAGATAATGAACTGCGTCTCATAATTGCTTTTAGTTCAGTTGCTGTCCAGCTGCTCATTCCTATTCTTCCATTTCATGGTGAGATAACATTGTCTATCTGTCAATATACAGACCCTGCCTTTATAGAGATATTTTTACAGTAAAGAGACTGTGCAAGAGTTGTCCAATACCATATATGTATTTTTTTTTGTTATAAATACAATATCCAGATGTATGCCAAATTACTCGGTATACTTTAATGTCCTTCCCCACTCCATCTATTAATTTTATATACATAAAACCAGTCTGCACAGTCTCCATGAATTGATATTGCTAACAAGTCAATGGGCTGTTCGTTAAAATAGCAGTATTCCTTGCAAAGGAAAGGAAAAGTTGTCAGTTACTGCAGGTGTTCAGTAGGTAAATTGAGCCTTTTTTTATGTGAATGCTTTAATGAAGTCTGCTTGTAGAACTACTTGTAAAGAAATTCACAGAAAGCAGTGCTCAAAGTTTCTGAGTTGTGATTTAGTGTTAAATGCTATATTGAAATTATTTAGCAGCGTTCATTGCAGTCAGAATACCTTTGTTCCTTACACAATGCATTGGCTACTTATGCGGCCAGCGTATAGTCCTTTGACATTTGGCACGTCTGCAGAAAGAAACTTGCATCTGCCTTGTGAGTGTGAAATCCTGCTCTGCTCTCAGGCAACAGAAGAAATGCTTACTCCCTTTTGTCCCGTGGCGCTGTCTTATGTGGTGGGGTATAATACTGCCGCATGTCTGACCATCTGAAGACACTAAATGCCTCTTGAGTTTGTTTGTTTGCTTGATAAGATTTCTTCTGGCCTTACTGAAATCAGAAGATAACGCATCGCTTTATTTTATGGAGGAAAATCTCCACCCTCAGTTACAAAACTGGTGTCTAGCGTGGTATGGCAATTAGTCTGGGGAACAATATTAAATAAGTATTAAGTCTCTCTACAGTTTTTTTCAGGTACAGATGTAATGGATACTAAATTGTCTGCAAATATTTAAAGCTAGTTTTGTGGCTGGCAGTGTTAAAGAGCCACTTGGTTTGGGTGAATATTAAATGTCCAGGCTATGTCTTCTGAGTCTCTGGAACAGTAACAGTCTGTATATTTTACATCCAAACTGAAGATATTATTTTTCTCATTATTATAATTATTATTAAATGAATTTTGTTTAATTCCAATATGCATGTATTGATTTTTTTTTCCCTGCAGATTTCGTTTCTGGCCTCTGCTTACATGAGCCAACACCTCTCAGAGGAGAGCTGCTCTGCCCTTGCATCTGTAACTCATTACCTTTACCTCTGCCAGTTCAGCTGGATGCTTATTCAGGTTGGTCTCTTAGTCTTTTTCACCCCTTCCCCAAAAACCTCTGTAACTGAGACTGTGTTTCTAATATATTGTAGTAGATGTGTCTCTGCAATTCAATGCTAGTAGAGAGGCAAAATATTAGATGGTCTTTATTAAACCTAAAGCATCACGGCTCCAAGGGTAAATATTTGAACCCTATCAAGACTTTTTCCACTAATATCCATTACAACTGTGTAAGAATTTCCACATCTCACTTCATCCTGTAGAAGTTACTGTCTCGAAACACTGAAGTACTCTTTTTATTAGAGTTAAGAGCTTTTCTGAGCATCTCTTATTTGGTCTTTCAAAACAATCTCTTACAGGTGAAATGGAAGTGGAAACTACACTGTAATTTTTGTCAGCAGCGTTTTAGTCATTAGACCCGTGTAACTGACGAACATACATTCATAAGTTTGCATCAAAATAAGGAGTATACACATTCATAAATCTTTGTAGAATCAGAGAATCATTTAGGTTCAAAAGACCTTCAAGATCACCGAGTCCAACCATCAACCTAACACTGCCAAACCCACCACTAAACCACATCTCTCAGCACCACATCTACCCATCTTTTAAATACCTCCAGGGGTGGTGACTCCACCACTTCCCTGGGCAGCCTATTCCAGTGCTTGACAACCCTTTCGGTGAAGAAATTGGTCCTAATATCCATTCTAACCCTCCCTTGGTGCAACTTAAGGCCATTTCCACTTGTCCTATCACCTGTTACTTGGGAGAAGGGACTGACCTTCCCCTTGCTACACCCTCTTTTCAGGTAGTCGTAGAGAGTGAGAAGGTCTCCCCTCAACCTCCTTTTCTCCAGGCTGAACACCCCCAGGTCCCTCAGCTGCTCCTCAGGAGGCTCGTGCTCCAGACCCCTCACCAGCTCTGTTGCTCTTTTGACACTGTATAGAATACTAAATGGTGTAAAAAACAATTGAACTAATGTGGGACATGAACAATTGAATTTGTTACTGAAAATTAATAGTTGTAAGTTAGTCAAAATAATGAGCTATGACGTTATTTGGAAAATACATTATCATATCCTCATCTAGAAATGTATATTTAGTACAAATGTGTGAATTACGCCATTTCTTTGTCAGTTATTTTAATAGGATTTGTCCATAGCACAGTTATTACAGCATACAGCTTTATATATGCAGCTCCATATATTACCATACAAATCCTCCGATATGCAGGTTGTCAGACCAAACCAAGAATTGCAAATTAGGCTAGATCTAAATACAGCTTTCTCTGCCAGGGACATTCATGTGATATCTGGTGTTTTCCTGGGATTACGCCAGGCTTTCTTTCACTGAGAACCCCAACATCCTCTCCAACAGCTCCACTGTGCTCCTTGGTCTTAGCAAGTGACAAGTAGATGGTCTCTCATGTACACTGCAGCTGTAACTGCTCATAAAAATGGAGCACAGACTAAACTGCTCTCTCCCTAGTGATACTAACACTCTTTTTATTCTTCTTGGTTTTCCTGAATTTATACAGTTAGCGAGATTAAATATTCTCTGCAGTGGATGTTACTTTCTGCTATCTCAATACAGACATTTTGATACTGTACTTCTGCTTCACCTACCTTGGCTTATGACTTTCTCTGAAGTTAACCAACCCAAATTAGTTTGTGAGCTATCCATTATATTCTTCTTCACAGCTGCTCATTCACTTCATTCCTAAATCGCTTCAGATCTCTTGAACATTTACTATTTTGGAGAGAAAAAGTAATGCTTTTAAGTCGCCATTTTACTGGGGTCATTTTACTCATGTCCTGACTGCTCAGTGTTTGATAGGGTTTCGTCTTCCCAGAGAGGTTGCCCAGAGAGGTTGTTGAGGCCCCATCCCTGGAGGTGTTCAAGGCCAGGCTGGATGTGGCCTTGGGCAACCTGGTCTAGTGGGAGGTGTCCCTGCCCATGGCAGGGGGGTTGGAACTCGGTGATCTTCAAGGTCCTTTCCAACCTAAACCATTCTATGATTCTATGATTCCCATCCTATGCATGTTACATTACATTAAGTTGCGAAAGGATTCACATTTCGAATGCTTGCTCTTCCAAGGACTAATCTCTTGTAATGACAAAAAATTGCATGGCTATTAGCAGTTGGTCATTTTTATGGCTGTAGTTGAAATCCATTGTTATACTTATTGGAGTAGACTTTTGCCTAAGAACTTCTTTCCTAATAACTTGCGTGTCCCGTTGCGTTTAGTGGAGCCTCAGGCTTGTGTTTGTCATGGAGACTCTTCATGCAGATCTAAGGGGACAAAGATGCTCAAGAGGGAGTCCTTTACAGCCTGCTGAGTATAAGCTGACAAAAGCCGCCAGGAATAAAACTCTGAGTGAGGAGGATTGCCCTTTTTCATAGGTGCAAGTCTTCAGCTGTGAATAATTCCTGAAGTTTTAAAGACCCAAAAGGAAAGAAATCATCTGGAAAGTAGATCAACCCAGCCCTCAGCTACAATTTACTCCTCTTGCTTGAGAATAGGTCCTGAATTTATATTTCTTATTGCAGAGTGAGGAAGCAATGCCAGGGCACTGAAGGAGTGCTGGGGACATCTTTGCACTTGAATTGGTCCCCATGACAGTATTAGCAAAGCTTGTCGATCCAAGGGAAAACCAGACTGATTTGGGAAGTCGAGATGCTACTGCTGTCTAAATGGCAGGTTTAAATGCCTGGGAAATGAACGTTCGTATTTCTCAGCATGGTGTACTTACTACACATGACTTGATTTGGAACACAGAATTAATAATGTATTTATACTTAAATGGGACTTAAATACTTCTGTCTGGGAAACAGATTCTGTGTCACTCACGCAGTCACTGCCCTCTGCGAGGCCGTGTAGCGTAGCGCATATGCCTGATCACTAACTCATGTTATAAAAATCCACGAGTGTCAGTCTTATCACTGCATAGAGAAGCGGGTGACTGTGATATTCAAGTGAAAGCAGCATGCAGATACGTGCAGGTATGGCGAACTGAAACATCCAGAAAGTCTGGACAATTTTAAGTGATCCAAATGTGATGGAGCAACATTTCGAAGCAACAAGAGTCTGTAGGAAAACACAGATTTAACAGTACAGTTGGACCTATACAGATTCAGTTCTGTAGTCCAGATCAAAGATCTTCACTTTGTAGGCTGTAGGACAGGTTCCTTACCTTGTTGTCCTAACCATTCCATCTGTATTGCTAGGTATAGTACTTACACTTAGCATTTTATCATATTTTAATAGTTGTTACAACAATAAATTCTATAGCTTCATTTTCTAATTCTTTTTCCATTTTTAGCTTCTCATATTTGTAGTCCTTCATTCAATAGCAGTATTTGTACTACACACGTAGCTACTACCCATGTATTGACTGAAGTGCAGGAGCGGAGATAACCTCAGAGATCATCTGGTCCATTTGCAGAGTCAGAACAAAGGCCACGTCAAATCATCCTTGTTTACCTGACTGTTCCTGTCCCTCTGTATTGCATTGTCTTGTTTCTTGGCTTTTATAGGGAGATTTTTTTTAGTTGCAGAATGTTGATATCATTACCCATTTTTTTAGGGATGAAGCTTTCTTGACTGCAGAAGGAAAGGAGTAAGCAAGGTGCAGGTGGGTCTTTGTGCCCACAGAGTGAGCTTAGCCTGAAATATTTGCCTTATATTAATGTCTGAAATTCAGAAGTCTCATCCTGGCAAATGTCCCTTCATACAAATGTGTATTACTACATCGTAGCCCTGTACTTTCAAACCCAGTCTGCGTTTTTACCTTAGGAGCACACACCGAGGGTGCCTTTCTGTATTCCATTGTTCTTCCCATGACAAATCTGGAGTATCACGACCATTTACCAGGAAAAATAATTTTATTATTTTAGCATTTTCTAACTTGTTACAAAAAAAAAAAATAATTAAAAAGTTACCAAAAAAAACCCTGAAAAGCTGTCTTTTGAGGAAAAAAATGAAATTGTGTAGTTCTCAGTTGACAATGCTGACATAGACTAAAGTGGTGGGAAAAGGTGGATTCTTTGTAATTTTTTGAGCCATTGCTACAGTGGAGTAAATCAACAGCAAAAGTAGCAGTTCAATAAGTAAAGCAGAGTGAATGTCATGAGCTTGCTGTCACCCATACCTGAATCCTCCTCATTTTTGGATTTAATGGCACCTTAAATTTTCTATAAATTTATTGCAGACTCATAGGACAAGTACTTATCTTACAATAAGTTTAATGCTTCTTTTTAAGAATGATTTATGGACTGCTTAACAGCTTTGGAAAAGGAATTATATGAAAGCATTCAGCCATTCTGAAAATGAAAGCTGTGACCATTCCTAAAAAGAAGGAAGAAAGGAAATATGTTTTCCCACTGCATTGGGAAAGACTATTTAAAGTGTTTTGCAGCTGATACCAGATATCCACATATTATCACTAAAGATAAAGGGACAAATAAATAAAGAAATAAAGAAAAGCACCCCAGTGTTGGGAAGGTAATGTCAATTAATTGCCTCATTCTAGAAGAAAAAAGCTTCACTGAAGTTCTCATTGTTTCATTAGAGTGTTATTTGAATTCGTAATTGTTTTGCATTCTACATAAGAACAATCAAAACTTGTACATTTGTTCTTCCACGTGAGCAGATGGGAAATGGACTGTACATTTCATTCTTCTGTAGAACTGGTTATTGTTGCGGCATGGCAACAGGAAAGGATTTGCTAAAATTAGTTCCACTCTTTGTATTTCATTGATTAAATTTTGGAACATCAAAAAGGGTTGAAGAACTTATAATTATCGAGATAGAAATGTTACTGTGCAGGAGATGGTGAGCTCTCCAAACCCCTTTACATCTTTGCAGCAGCACTGGAGTTAAAGTGTTCTTCTGTGATAAATGAGGTGAGATAGGTAAATATGGCTAAACAAACACGGAGCAAGGACATGAGGTACAATTTCTTAGAAAGCAGTCTCAGTTGGATGCCTGAGAACAATGTTCACCAGATTGTCAGAATTAGTAGAACCAACAATCCCTGAGCATAATGGCATAAATCAGTTCAAGGATTTTTCTGTCTGGAAGTGTTTGCTGTGAGGCACAGCCTGGTCAGGACTACAAGGGTGTGTAATTTGAAGAATGTTTATTGGCATAAGGTGACAAACAGAATCTTGAAAGGGTACTTAATCCCATGCAAAAGTTAAGAGAGAAGAGAGCAACCATTAACTAGGGAAAATCTTTTCACAGACTGTGGATTTTTTTTCCAAATACCCATTTTCATCTCTTTAATGTTTTCTTCCTGTGAATGTCCAAAATGGAGTTAACAGTTTTTCTGTGTTCTTTCAAACTACACAGGATAGTAACAGTTATATGGTAGGATTTTCCTGTGTTCTTTAAGGACAACAAACTTTGCTTTTGTTCACATAGCACCGATCACCAAATGAAAATAATAAATTCCATAATAATTACTATATAAATAATATAATTACATACAATGGACATATTTATAAAATGCCATTTCCTAGGGAAGCATTTAAAGTGCTTACTAAACTAATATTTTTTTTTAAAACAAGTTATTAGCATGTGATGTGCTTTATGATTCATGAAAAAGTATTGTATATTCATGCTATATAAATCGCAGAAAAATACTGTAATGAAAATTAACTGATGATACCCACATAACAAATCCACAAACCACTAATTAAGTACTTGATTGTGAAAATTCAGCCTGCCTGAAGAAATTGGTAGACAAACCCTTGGCTGAGGGGAATCTGCAAAATTTCACAAACACAAATAATCACTTTGCAATTCACTTGTCACTGTATAGGGCTTTTACCTAGCCTAACAATAGACAGCTGCAAATTAAGCATATAAATAAACATTTTTGAATGAACATCCAGTGTAGACAATGGAGGGATGAGTATGACTGCGTAAGGATCAATGGGTGCCTGAAGATGTCTGGCTTGAGGCACAAGCTTGAATTCGATGCCCTCTAGACAGAAAAAGGCAAAAATAATCCTCCATTCACTCCATATCAAAGGCCAAAAATAGTTATATAATATGCAGAGCTATAGCCAATATAATGCGTTAGAAGTGGAGGATGTGAAGAAATATTTTAAAGGCATATTCTTATTATGGATAGCTGTGTTTATTAGAAAGTAGTAGTGTGTGTAGATGTGTGTAACAAAATGCTTAGCACATTGGAAAGCATTTCAATTGTTAACCTCTTAAAGCAAATGCAAAGATCCAAGCTAAACTTTAAGTATTTTGCTTTACTTGAAGGGTTTCCTTGCTCATACTGCCCGTTATTTCAAGAAATTTAGACTATTCCACTTCTTCATTTTGATTCATATGTCTTTAAGTTCTTAGTTACGCTCTTTGATGATGAGTTGATCATAAGACAACACAGATTGTTGCAGAGATGCATGTGAATTTACATTCACTTTTTGCAGTTTTTTCTCAAACTCTTATACAAATATTACACAGAATGACAGAACCATTGAAGTTGCAGTGGCATTTTGAGACCGTCTGGTCCAACACCCTGGCTCAGGCAGGGTCAGCCAGGGCAGCTTGCCCAGGACCATGTTCAGTTATGTTTTGATTACTTCTAAGGACAGAGACTCCACAACCTCTCTGGACAGCCTGGGCCAGTGCTTGGCTCACTCCACAGTAAAAAAGCTTTTTCTTGTGTTCAGGTGGAATTTTGTGTGTATTAATTTGTGCCCTTTGCCTCTTGTCCTGCCCTTGGGCACGACTGAGGAGAGTCACTCCCTCCTGTCAGATGTTTACACACATGGATAAGATTCCCCACAGCCTCTTCTTCTCCAGGCTGGACAGTCCCAGCTCTCTCAGCCTCTCCTCGTAGGAGATATTAATCATCTTCATGGCCCTTTGCTGAACTCGCTCCATGTCTCTCTTGTTCTGGTGAGCCCCGAACTGGACCAGAGCCAGAACCGTTGAAGGAGGTTTGTGCATTTCCTATAAGAAGAGACCTAGAGCTGAACAATAGTATAAAAAGATTCAACATAGATCAGATTTAGCAGTATTATATGTCAGTCTTTTCTGTGGAGGTATTGAGATCCAAGAAGAAACGTGCTTTTGCACCACAAAGCTATTTTTGCACTGCAGAAATAGTATTTTCTACTAAACAGGGCATCCCTTCCTCTCTGATAGTCTTAATTCCAAATCTAACATTTATATAAATAAGCATAATTATTTTTTAATCAGTCTTTTGATTACTTAAGAGAAGTAAATGAGAACAAAATATTTATCTTGATAAATGTTTATATATACACATACGCTGGGACAGAAATATGCTGTATTGTGACTTTCAGAGTGATTCGTTTTTTGGGCATAACTAATCATCCACCAAGTTAATATTAATATTCTGCGTTTTTCTTCAGGCTGTTAACTTCTGGTACGTCCTGGTGATGAATGACGAACACACAGAGCGGCGCTATCTGCTTTACTTCCTTTTGAGTTGGGGGCTTCCAGCTTTTGTTGTGATCCTGCTTTTAATTATCCTGAGAGGAATCTATCATCACAGCACGGCACAGATTTATGGCCTTGTCTACAGTGATCTGTAAGTTTTCCTTTAAAAAAGCATGAGCTAGCTATTGTACTCTCTGTATTGTTACATATTTAATCTGCTTGCATTTAGGGAAGGGGGTATGCGTACAGCCAAATGCAGTAAGGGGAAGGGGATTCCTCCTTTGGTGGAGATGAAGCATGTATGTCACCCCTATGCAATGCAGCGCTTTCCACGCGGTTGGGCTTTGCTCCAGTTTCTCCACAGTTCCATCCTGGGCTGAGCACGGGCAGAGCCAGCTCAGGCACGTCTGCTTTGCAGGGAAATTATTTATTCTTTTCTGAGACTGTGCCATTCCAGGGTAAAGGATAGAAATGGTTACTGCTGCACAAGGTTGTGTTTTTCTTCCATTTCATTTCTCTGTTTGAAAAAAAAACCAAACCAAAAAACACCGCGATACCAAGCCTTAAAACCCCGTCTCTTAGGTTATTAAATTTATTCTCTGCAAAACAATGTTACTGCATTCACATGTCAAATATGTTTCCTGAAGTGTTTCTCTTGGAATATTGAATATGTTATATTCCGAACTGTTCCCAATTTGAGCACTGCTGTAATGCCAATAATTAGCACAGCCCTTTCAAAGCTAAATATAACCTCAGAAAACTTTTCTAATTAAAACAATACATCATCATAGAACTTGAGATGTTTAAGTGAAAAGATACATAGATAAATATTTTTGTTCTCCTTCTCTACTGCTTTTACTCTGGACCCTTTTCTGGCAAAGTTAATCTATGATAATAGCTATTCTAGGATATGAGGCTATTATGCTTATTCACTTTGTGTCATATTACATGCTTCGTGAGCAGAAAAGAGTAAACACACAGCTCCTTTTTAAAATAATATAAGAGTATACAAATTCTTTTTATGAAAACTTCTCATGAGGGTGCTTGCAGAGTAGAACCAAAACAGGAGAGTATCCATCTATCTTCCATAAAAGATACAGTGTGCATCATTCCATTAAATAAATAAAAAAAAATCAGTATCCTCTTTCTTTGTCATACAACAGGAATTGCTGTAAGAAATAGATACTGAAATTCAATGTCTGTGTGTGTGAGTATATCCATATCCATATCCATATACATGTGCACTTATAAATGTTACTTGTATATACACATGTATATACGTATATATACATATGTACAGTGTGCGATAAGCAGAGATACCTGATTTAGATCTAAAATTGGGTACTGGAAGCCATCTAACCATGTTAGCCAAAGTTTAGTCCCACATTAACAGACACCAGCTCTCAACTCAGAAGAGTCTCTGAGTTTCACAATATCAGACCATTCCTAATCTTCATGCTCCATCAGGGAGTGCTGTGGAGCTCTACACCTGCCATACACTTAGATATTTCTTCGCAGAACATGGTGAGCAGGAGTGTTGTGGTTTTCTTCATGGTAAAGTGCCTCTCTGTGCATAGTAAACACAAGAAATGTATGTAGCTTAATCAAGTCTTCTGACTGCAGTCAGACTGGCCTGATGGTATCATTATGCAATGAACCACAGTTTCACAGTTGTTTTCTTTTGATGTCCAAGTCTCATTCTTTCAAAAATTAGGAAAAATCCCTAAGTTCTGATAAAATTATTAAGTAGAGGAAAATTACTCAGTCCAACTCATTTGTCCAAATTAAATATAAAACTTTTCCAGCATCTTATTAAAGTGGGCAAATGCCAGGAATCATCCCAAGCTTAGTGAGTGTGCAGCTTATTCCAGCTCAGTCAATGTGAACGCTGTAAGGGGATATCTGCAAGGATTTTCATAAATAGCATCGATGCTAATTCCTAATTTGAAGAGCACTTTAAAAGTTGCTCTCAGTTATACAAAGAAGACTTTGTAGGAAAAGACTGTGTAGGAAAGAGGACAGATCGAACTACATCACTTGGTTTGTTTTCTCCAAACCAGGATGTAGTAGTGGAAAAAGTACCAAGGAGATTTCCAAAGTCAAGGTCATTGCATACTAATTTCAGAATCAGCCTCAGAAATAGTTTGAGAACAATGGTGTGCTGCTAAGGAACTCATTTCATGTGAGAGCTGGAAAACTGGTTGAAGTAATAAAAGCAGTGAAGCCTGTTATCTTAGCTCTCTCCTAAGTGATCGCTCCTTCGGGCAACTCATTTTTGCATTACTGTGGTGTCTGACCAACTGTTTTGTTCCTAACCAACTGCCATGGGCACAGTTAATAGCCAACAGGATGGCTATGCTGAAAGAACTTCAATTTATGCCTGTACTGAGGAAAAAAAAGATTTGAGCTGTGTTGGATTTTGGGCTTCAAAAGAAATATTATGACAGGGTCTTCCTTCCGATGTGACAGATTTTACACACAAATGCATATATTTTGTACAGGAACTCCCATAACATGTCCTGCTGCAGAACTAAGAGGCTACTATGGTGGTAACAGTAGTATACGTACTGGTGATAATTTTCATAATTAGTGAAGTGTATGTACAATGTGAACAGTGCAATCTTTGGCATCTTGTGAGTTTTTTTATGACGCTGATAAATTTGTCTGTATCAGTGCCACCAAGTAGCACAATTTTTTTCAGATAGTAGCTCAATGATGTGTGAAAGAGCTAACTGCCAAGAAAGGGCTCTTTTACTCCTCCCTTAGCTAATTTCCCCACTGCTCGGCTGAAGAGGTGAAAGGATGTTTGAATAGGACTGGAAGAGTTAGCAATGAAAAGCATATCAGCATGACTTGAATGAAAGAAGCAGTGAGACGGGTGTTTGCCTGGGATGGGTTTGAATGGTGGAACAGCAGTCTATCCGGATGAAAAATGTGGCAGTTCTATGAATATCTGATATAATAACTTTACTAAGGAAAACAATAAGATTTGATCCCATCTTAAAAATATGTATTATTTCTCATGGCTTCTTTTAAAAAAGAATAACAAGTTATTTCAGATGCAGCTGTCTATAACTTCACCTTTGGTTAATTTCTGTGTGTGATAACCATTGGTTCAATCATGTCATGAAACATAAAGTGACTTGTGGAAAAGTCTTGGATCGGCATTTGCCATCTACCCTGTTTTTTACTTTTTGTGTTATGGTAATAGTCTTACACAAAGTCTTGTCAATGTTTGTAAATGAATTCTCTAATGTGTCTCTGAATATGAAGCATGTTGTCTACCCTGGTCCCTAGTAACCATGCTCTAAAATGTATATCCTTGCTTAAGAATTGCCACGATGGCTGAGCCATTAGTGTTTTTTAGTGATAAGATTTGAATTAAGCTCTGAACTAGATGGTTCAAAATTGCTCTAAAAAAAAAAAAAAAAAGGATGCTATCCTTTTGTATTTCTGATGTTTTATGTTGTACAGAAATTTCCCAACCCCTGTGTGAATTTGCTACAATATCTGTCTAAAATATCTCTGTCTAAACTATCTTCTAAGGACGTAAGTTCTACCATTTAGGTACATACTGTTTTAGAAAAGTATTTCCTTTTGTCATTTTGTATTACATTGAATGTCACCATGACTTTGTGTTGTGACATAAGTACAGACCTCAGGATAACCCTTCTCTTCCATTTGGTTTGTTTGGTTTTTTTTCTTATCTCCCATCTGATTGTCTCTTTCAAGGTTATAAAACAAACCCGTAATCTGTGTTTCTTTACAGGAATTAATGTTCGTGCACACTTTAACAACCTTCTTCTCCTTTTGAGAAGTAGTTTTCTTGTTGAATAAGAAGAATTTATGAACAGATGAGTTCACAACAAGACAAGAGTTCAGCTTAAAATCAAATTCCAACTCTCACTGCAGGTCCCAATCTTCGGACAGTTCAACATTTGCTGTTGTCCTGGTATATACTGCCAGCCAGTCACACCCTCATTTCTAAATAGCTTTTAGCTAAGGTCCGTAAAGTGAGTTTAATTTTGGCAATATACTTCAACTGAGTAGTATATTTCTTATAGGTCTCTTAAAGTAAAAAGACACAGTTCAGCGGGTATGGTGGAAAACATTTGGAGGCCAATGGAAAATGGATAATGGCAAGGAGAGATGTGAAGTGCAGTTGAGAGGTGAAGAGAAGAATGTCAAGAATTACATAAAATCTCTTTACCAGTTTCATCCTCATCTCATTGGTGGTTACTTTGAAGAAAAACGTCAGCCGTATATGCCTTGCGTGTATGTTTAGAGGGATTGCATCACAGGGGATTTACAGACTGCAGATAGTTCTTACGGAAACCAAAGCAGTTACAGGAAGCCAGGGGGATGGGAACAGTTTTTTCAGTGGTGCCCAGTGGCAGGACAAGAGGTAACAGGCACAGACTTGAACATAGGAAGTTCCATCTTAACATGAGAAGGAACTTCTTTACTTTGAGGGTAGTGGAGCAGTGGCACAGGCTGCCCAGAGAGGTGGTGGAGTCTCCCACTCTGGAGACATTCAAAACCTGCCTGGACGCTGTCCTGTGCAACTGCTGTAGGTGACCCTGCTCTGGCGGGGGGGTTGGACTGGATGATCTCCAGAGGTCCCTTCCAACCCTGACCATTCTGTGATTCTGTGATTCTGTGATATAAAACCTCAGACTGGTGAATGACTTGGGACTAGCAACGATTCAATCATGTTTTACAGAGGAAGCTGGGTTTGGGTTCATGTCACATTATAGCTCTCTTACACTTAAAAAAACCAAATAAGCAAGCAAGACAACTTCTAAAATGGGCATCCTTGGCACTAAAGTTGCTTTCTAATTTCTCACATAACCCTGAAAATGGAATTGTTCACACTTGCATACAAGTCAAAATTTCAATACCCTTTGAAGTCAGTGGAACCACACCCATTTGAGTGGTTTTGCGTTAATTCATCTGTTTCTGAGATCAGAGGACAGAATTATTTAATTGCAAGTATCAGTTTTTGTTGACAAACATGAGTTTACGAGTTAGTTATGCTACTTTCACTCAGCTTGTACCCAAGAGATGTTATAAAGAAAACGTACTACTGTAAAATTGGCCAGAATCACAGCTCAGTGGAGCTTGAACTTTTAATTCACTTGAGGTGTTTGA